TATATATATATATATATATATACTTGGGAAGGTGTTACTTGATGATATTTTGAAATTTTACATACAGTGCCCCAAATATATTTCCTTCCTGTAAACTTTAACTGAGACACGGGGAATATTTTTGTCTTTTATTTAATCCTTTCTGTTTCTTGACATATTCTTTGGTGCCAATTCCAATAATTATTTTCAGCCTGATTTACTTTTTTTTAACACGCGCTCATTAACCATTCTTGCAGTGTCTCGCAGACGTTCGGAACAAAGAAGTCTGAGTAGTTGCGATGAAAACAACTAACTGGCATTTCCATGGTTGTTTTCGGGATAGCGGAGTGGTTTTCTACTGCCTTCTCTATACTTTTTAAAGTGTTGCCCTTCTCCTAGATTGCAGATCAAAGAAATGCAAGTCAGAAATGAATAACGTTTGCCAATTCTTCATCTAATAAAAAAATTCAAGACACTTTCCCCGCTTCGTATGCCTTACTGCACAATAAAGAGCACTTGTGCAGAATGTTAGTTACAATTCACTTTGCTGATCAAAGACTTATAACAATTTCCTGTCTGGAAGAATCTCGAACGCATTGAATTCATGAAATGCTTCTAATGCTGCTCAGCAAGAATCTATTTTCCTCCAATGAGTGCCAAAGATGCCATAGTGCAAATATCTAAATTCTAGCCATCTGTGACAATTCTTGGAATTATATATATATTGCGATATTTTTCAAAGCAAAAAAAGAAAACGATTTTGTCAACATCAGTAACATTAATGGTTTTATGCATCTGTGTGGGAAAAAAACCCCAAGAAAACTAAGAAAGATTTGTCACTGCCAAAAGCATATTTTTGTAGAATTTATTTCACTGGTGTATCGGCAATTCTACAAGAAAAAAAGGAAGATTTTAATGAAGCACCAGTCTTTGGTGTTCTGATAATTAAAGTATTTTTCTTGGAAGAATGACAAAATAATATTGGATACGAACAGAATCGACATATTCCTGAAGAATGGGAGAAAGCCCACCGAGAATTCTTAGCAAAATGGCTATTCGGAAAGAATGAGAAAGAGAGAGGGAGAAAGAATGAGAAAGAAAGAATGAGAAAGAAAGAGGGAAAGAAGAAAGAAAGAGAGAAAGAGAAAGAAAGAGCGAAGAAAAGTTAGAGAGAAAGAAAAAAACGAAAAAATGTTGGCCAATTTTAATTCCTCACTCTCAGAGCTCGATCGAGGAGGTTTACGGCCACATCACGTTGAAACATTAGTTCCTGTATCATCACTGAAGTTAAGCAACGCTGAGCCTAGTCAGTACCTCGATGGGTGTTTTTTGGGAATAGCAGGTGCTGTAAGTTTAGATGTGCGGGTGGTGTAATGGATGATGGCCCGGAATTGTTAATCGGAGAGCCGAGTTCAAATTTCAGTTGGGTTCGTTATATTCACTTACAAACAAATACTTTTAGGAAAGGTATGAATACACCTCCTCTCACTCTAGCTATGGGTTAATTAGTCAGACTTTTTTTTTTGCTAACCATTATTATCTAAAACAAATTCTTACAATCTAAAAATACATTCTAGTTTTGAATAATATGCAAAGAGTCGTGAATTTAAAATAGATGTGCATAGTGACAAAAATAAAGAAACAAATTAATGCCGATAAGAGATATACGTAAATTAATAATAATCTTATATATAAAGTACCGTGTATGTGTGTTTGTGTGCCTCAGCAACTCCTCCGCTCCCACTGGTCCGATCATAGCTCATTCAAAAGCCCTAAAAAAGATTTTCTTTGAGCTCAGATTCAGTGTTGCTAGATTATGCGAGGTTAAAAATATATATTAATATATTATACTAGCCATTATCGTTGCTTTCTTGGTTCAAGGGGAGTAACTTTTATTTTCCTTTTGTATCCAAAATTGCAGAGCACGTTTTATTATAAACCAGCTTAAAAGCCACCCTATTTTTATTTTTAAACGTACTTTGATCACATAGAATTTGGGGATGTGTAAGCAAATTTTCATCCCGAAAATGCAGCCCAGGTAAAAAAAAAAAAAGTTTGGGAACCACTGCGCCATGCTATGCACATTGTACCGAATCACCCTCATCCACTTTGTATTAGACTAGAGAGATGCAAGTTCTATCTGAGCTGCTTCTTCACAGCAACTCTGTGTAACCAAATCACAAGCGGATGTTTTTGCCGATCACATCTAAGCTATCGACTGTCCTCCTGATTGCTCTTTTCTCTTTCTTCTCATTATTAATGTTTCTGTTCCTAATTCTTCCTCACGCTGTAACCCCTTGTGTCTTAGTGGCTTTACTGCCTTACATGTGGTGATACTGATTAAAAAAATGGATTTAATTTCTGTCCTATGCTATCAAAGTAAATGGATGGCAGTACAAGGTTTAGGAGAGATAACAAAAAGATAACATTTATTAAGAACTACAAAGGACAGGAAATTGTGGAGAGCCATGATCGCCTACGTCCTGAAGGGAAACGTCACATATAAGAAGAATGACTTTGAGTAAATGGATGGCGGAACAAAGTTTAGGAGGGATAACAAAAAGACAAAATTTATTAAGAACTACAAAGGACAGGAAATTGTGGAGAGCCATGATCACCAACGTCCTGAAGGGAAACGTCACATATAAGAAGAATGACTTTGAGTAAATGGATGGCGGAACAAGGTTTAGGAGGGATAACAAAAAGACAAAATTTATTAAGAACTACAAAGGACAGGAAATTGTGGAGAGCCATGATCGCCTACGTCCTGAAGGGAAACGTTATGCAGAAGAAGAATGAGCTTGAGTAATTGGATGTCAGAACAAGGTTTAGGAGATATAACAAAAAGATGACATTTATTAAGAACCACAAAGGATAGGAAATTGTGGAGAGCCACGATCACCTATGTCCTGAGATGAGATGATTTCTTTATTATTTTCCTGATCAGGATGTGACACAGTATAATGTAGGGAGACCGAAGACGTGCACTCAGGCCTGGTCTAGAAATAGTCTAGATCTTCAACCGTCAGTTCCGGTGGAATCGGTATTACTACCGATCCTTCAACTTTAAAGCAATGAGAGAGGTACTGCTGCGGGCTTCTGTTCACTCGGGACCGAGTACCTCACAATAATATTTTTAGTCGCGCTATGATGGCCAAAGATGCTTTCCAAAAGCCAAGCAGAGTATTAAGAGACACAAAAAAAAACTTCGTTAAAAAAACAAAGAAAGGAGTACAAAACTGTTTCGTGATATCTGCCGTCTTGTATGACAGTGAGTGCTGGACAATCGCCTCAATGATGAAAAAGAGATTTGAAGCAACAGAAATGTGGTTCTACAGAAGGATGCTGAGGATACCATGAACCAAACATGTGAGCAACGACAAAGCTTTAGAGGAAATAAAATAGAAAGGAAACTTATACTTAACATAAGGAAGAGACAGTTGAGGTTTCTATGGCACATAATGAGGAAAGAGGGCCTGGAAAATCTGATACTCACAGGACAGATTGAAGGTAAGAGGGTCAGAAGAAAACAATGCATAACATATTTAGTGAGCTTGAGTAAATGGATGGTCGAACAGGGTTTAGGAGAAATAATAAAAAGACAAAATTTATTAAGAGTTACAAAGGAGAGGACGTTGTGGAGAGCCATGATCGCCTACGTCCTGAGGTGACAAAGCATATAAAGTAGAAGTATGTCTTAAAAATAAATGCTTATTTCAGTTGACAAAAGGACAAAATTTATTAAGAGTTACAAAGGACAGGAAATTGTGGAGAGCCATGATCGCCTACGTTCTGAAGGGAGACGGCACACAGAAAGAAGAATGACCTTGAGTAAATGGATGGCAGAACAAGGTTTAGGAGGGATAACAAAAAGAAAACATTTATTAAGAACTACAAAGGACAGGAAATTGTGGAGAGCCATGATCGCCTACGTCCTGAGGTGAGATGATTTCTTTATTATTTTCCTGATTTAGAAATTCTTGATTAACTTTTCCGAATTAAAATTTAAAGTTCGCCCAAGAGTTTTAGTTATTCTGCAAGTCCGCCCTGAAGCACCGTCCTGGGTAAGACGATAAACTACATCCGGCGTCTTGGGTAAGACGATAAACTACATCCGGCGTCCTGGGTAAGAAGATAAAATACATCCGACAGCAAGGCCTCTGATCAGGAGGTCTTGAGGAGCGTAGAATTGCTGGTGTTACCCGGTCAGCCTTGACTCGGGTGGTAGCACCTGTTAGCGTCCCAGCTATTGGCAATTAATTAACCCCTAAACTGGGTTCAAAACACTATGAAAATGTAAAAATAGTTTTTAATACCAGAAATACATTTTTGTAAAAAATTATTACAAGCAATACATTTTTTGAATAAAAATTATTACTAGCAATACATTCTTGGGAAAAAAATATTACCAGCAATACTTTTTTGAAAAAAAAAATATTACCAGCAATAAACATCTTGCCGGCATTAAATAACCCATTGTGGCTGATATGCCGTGAAACAAAACAAACCAAACCAAACCGCCCTGAAGTAGAAAAAAATGGTTGAGAAACACTGATTTAGTGAATTAAAGGCTTGGTTAATGAATCTGGTTTTAAATAAGGATAACGCCTCATGCCAGAAATTCAGACAGCGCTGATGACAAATCTAAGAAAAATACCTATAAAAAGAGACGCCATGCCAATTATAGAACCTATGTTACTCTTGGTAGCATCGTAGACAACCTTCCTCCGACTCTTTCCTCATCTCGGTGCAATGTTGCCGTAAAAACGGAGGTACCCATTCGAAAGGTCAGGATTTAAAACCAATAAATGACGGTAGGTAAAAATTGGCAACATTTCAAGTCTGTATTCTAAACCAGTTTCAAATTCCAGTCACAAAAAAAAAAAAAAATGTCTAGAAGTTTTAAAATCTTTTAGATATTTCTTCTTTTTTTAAGAGTGAAGGATTAAATTTAGTTCTTATTAATGTTGTTGTTGTCATCGTTCTTAAAGTAAACAGAAATTGGGTGACAACCTCTTCAC